GGGAGCGGGGGCGCCCGGGGGGGGGGGGGGAGGATGCTCCCGGCGGGCCTCGGCAAACGGGCCTCCAACAGGAACACCGACTCACCCAGCCACCCACCCACCCCCTCCCGCAGCGGCGGCGGCGGCGGCGGCGGCGGCGGGGAGGGGGGCGCCTTCTCCCGAGAGACTCACCTCCTCGGCCTGTTTCCGCAGCGCCTTCTCCCGCTCGTACTGGGTGAGGAGCTGCTCGTTGTCGTCCCGCAGCAGCTCCAGCTCCACGCTGGTTTCCTGGCTGTGGGCGCAGACCGAGTCCAGGTTCTCCAGCACAGCCACCACCAGCGGCATCAGCTCGGCCACCACCTCCTCGTCGTAGCGCCCGATGAGCCGCTCGAACTCGCGGTAGATGGAGCCAGCCAGACCGGACACCCGCTCCGACATCATCGCCGGGCCGGGCCCGCCGGGGTCCTCCTGGTACACCACGCCGTCCGCCAGCTCCATGGCCTCGGAGCGCAGGAGGGGCAACCAGGGCCGACGGATCGGGCGAGCAGACAAGCGGCTGAGCAGGCAGCGAGAACTCCTGGCGGCGGTGGCGGCGGCGACCGGAGGAGGAGGAAGAGGAGGAAGGAAGGAAGGGGAGATGGAGGACCGGCGGCAACAGCAGCGCCTCCCTCTGCGGCGGGGCCTTGATTACAGCTCAGCGCGAAGGGGAAGGGAGCCCCGGTGACAGGCGCGCGGCACTGACCTCACCCACGGCGCCGAAGCGGTGGGAGGGGCCGGGGCAGTGACGTTATCTTGGGCGGGATCGGTGCGCGCCCTCGCGCTCTAAGGATAGGAGGGGCGGGACTTAGAGGCTGAAAGCGACGCGGCAAAGAGAGGGGGGGGACAGGACGGGGGCGGAGCTCCCGAGTGGAGGAGGGGCGAGGCGGCGGTTCTGAGGGGGGGCTCGCGCTAGGAAAATAGGGCAACGTGGGAGGAGGTGAGGTTAACGGCGGCGCCGCGCGCCTTCCTCGCAGTTTTCGTGCAGGGGGTGGGCTGACTTCCCAAATAAGCGCGGCCTCCTGGCAGGCTATAAACCGAGACGAGGCAGCGGAGTGGTTTTCAGGGATTGAGTCGTTAGTGGGAAGGATGGTGCGAAGCATACATGTTTACTCAGGCGAAGGTAGCCGTCATTGTCCACATCCCCCCCCACACACATACATACACACCCTTCACTGAGGGTTACTACCTGGTGAGCCTGCACAGGGTTGCAGCTCAGGGCTGCCCAGTCACTCAGCTGGGAAGAAACCTCGTGGAGATGTGGTGGACTGATTTCCAAAGAAGCGTGCCCTCCCCTCAAGCTGTCAACCTCCTCCTCCCAGTTCCAAAACTGTACACTTCTATCCAGACCATTTTGATATTGCCACTCACACTAAGTAATCCAAACAGAGGCCAGCAGCATCACCTACAATACATCTTTTCCAGCATTTAATGAGGCCACACCCATTGACAGTAAAAATACTGAAAATTATGCTTATACCACAAAAGGAATGGAATCTTATTAAGTTACCACCTAATTTAATATGGTTATTTCTAATGGGGGAAGAATTGGCTAGAAGTTATTGTTTATTTCCTATTTCTGTATCACTGGTGAGATTTACTGTAACAATTGTGTGTGAGAGAATGGGTGGGTCAAAAGGAAGTTAGTAATAAAGACCTCTAATAAATGGATGCTTCCCAGGGAAGAAGTGAGGAAAAATACAATTTTAGTATTTGCATCATAAATTTCATGGTAGTGGAACTATGCAAATCTAAAATTGGTCATGGAAACTGAATTATGAAATTCACTTCACCTTCTGTTTTTAGTAACTCATATTTATATAGACACCAGGGTGCGTAACTCACTACATTAGCAGTTTAGATTACTGTGCAGGGGGGTAGGGAGAAACAAAGGTAACAAGGAATGAGTATGAGTGGTTTTGAATCTACAGAGAGATTATGTTTAATTGGAGCTAAGTGATTAAATCAACACATTATAGGAGGAGGACAATGGGAGAAAACCCCTTTAGCAAGTTTCTATTCTATAACATCTCTGAAAGTTACCCACCCATACAGTCTGAAGAACTTTATAAGAACAAATCTGCCAGTAGTAACAGAAATGAACAGATCTTGTGATTTATTATAATTGTGGTTTGTGGAAATAAAAAAAGAAATATGCTGATTGAGTAGAGTAGAACCATATAGCCTTCCAATGCTTGGGGTGGCATTCTGTTGTGCTACTTGGAGATGAAAAGAGGGCAGAATTTCTCATTCCAAAGAAGCAGAAGGACAGCAACACTGAAGGCTAAAGTGAGGGTGGGTGTGTCCACATTTAAACCTTGTAATGGGCTGAATTCATTCCAACATCAGGAGTGTCAACTATGTCACACTGGAGTCAAGCAGACATGATCCACCTACCAAGGTCACCTTATAGCATAGTTCTGCTAATTTCTTCCCTCTGTCAGCAACTTCATATAAATTTAAAGAAACTGTATAATAGTAAAACTATTAATACAAATACTGCAGAGAATTCTGAGGGGAGCTGATGTGCTGAAGCAAATGTATTTTTCTTTGGTTTTCTGAAATTCATCAGACTCTCATGCATCTTCTAACTGTTGGCTTTGTTTATGATAATTTATACTGAAATCAAAGAATGTTTCCAAAAACTAGGATGGATTGTGTGATTTAAGTTGTTACTTGTACAGGAAGCAACAGCATTTGTTTACAGTTCAGTGTTTACATAATGTTACTTTTAAAGGAGCTCCCTCTGCTGGTCCTGTAGGGCAGCAATCCCCAATCTTCTTGGGGCCGCAGACCTGCTGGGGGGGAGCAAGCTTCATGTGTGTGCGGGGGGTGTCACCTCATGCTTGCACGATGGGGGGGCGTGTCACCCCTGCGTGACATGCCCCACCACAAGTGCAACATCCCCACTGCGAGCACGACACACCCACCATGCTGGGGGGCAGAGATCTGTATCCGCGGCCCAGTTCCAGCAAGCCTACAGACCGGCACCAGGCCCCTGATGTACGGGTACCAAATATACAGTGTAAGAACATAAGAAGAGCCTTGCTGAATCAGGCCAAGGGCCCATCTAATTCAGCTTCCTGTATCTCACATTGGCCCCCACCAGAGGCCTCTGGGAGCACATGAGACAACTGGAGACCTGTCTCCTGAGCCCCCTCCCCTGCATCTGGCATTTGGAGGTCCCTTCCTTTCAAGCTTGGAGATAATACATCCCCATCATGGCTCGTAACCTGTGATGGACTTTTCCTCCAAGAATCTGTCCAATCCCTTTTTAAAGGCATCTAGGCCAAATCCCATCACCTTATCCTGTGGCAAGGGGTTCCACAGACAAACAGCACACTGGATAAAGAAATATTTTCTTGTGTCTGTTTTCACTCTCCCAACACTCAATTTGAGTGGATGTCCCCTGGTTCTGGTATTGCGTGAAAGGAAAAAGAGCTTCCCTCTATCTACTTTATCCATCTCCTGCATAATTTTATATGTCTCAATCATGTCACCCCTCAAGTGCCTTTTCTCTAGACTAAAGAGGCCCAAATGCTCTAGCCTTTCCTCATGAGGGAGGTGCCCCAGCCCTGTCATCATTTCAGCCGCTCTCTTCTGCACCTTTTCCAGTTCCACTATGTCTTTTTTGAGGTGTGGCGACCAGAACTGTTCACAATACTCCAGGTGCAGCCTTACCAGTGTTTTTTACAATGGCATAATCTTGGCTGTTTTATTTTCAATCCCCCTTTTAAATACCTAGCATGGAATTGGCCTTCTTCACTGCTGCCACACACTGGGTTGACACTTTCATCGAGCTCCTTCGGAAGCTCTTCACAATCCCTTCTGGGCTTCATCACCCAGGAAAGTTTTGTGTCTTATGCAAACCTGGCCACCTCACTGTTTATCCCTGTCTCCAGATCATTTATGAACAGGTTGAAAAGCACCGGTCCCACAACAGATCCGTCAGGCACACCGCTCTTCACCTCTCTCCATTGTGAAAACTGCCCCTTGACACCTCCTCTCTGTTTCCTGGTTCTCAGCCAATTCTCAATCTATAAGAGGACCTGCCCTCTTATCCCCTGACTGTGGAGCTTTCTCAGCAGCCTTTGGGGCGGGGCTGCATCAAATGTTTTCTGAAAATCCAGATTGACAATGTCCACTGGTTTGCCCATATTCACATGCCTGTTGACCTTTTCAAATAATTCTAAAAGGTTTGTGACGAAAGACCTACCCTTACAAAAGCCATGCTGATTTTCCCTCAGCAAGGCTTGTTCCTCTATGTATTTTAAGGTTTCATCTTGGATGAGGCTTTCCACCATCGTCCATGGAACAGACATTAGGCTAACTAGCCTGTAGTTTCCCGAGTCCCTCATTCCCTTTTTAAAGATTGGCGTGATATGTGCTGTCCTCCAGTCCTCTGGCATTGTGGCCGTTTTAAGGGACAAGTTGTATATTTTAGTTAAGAGATCAGCTGCATTTCTAAGTTCCTTAATAACCCATAGGTAACCACCTGGACCCAGTGACTTATTGATCTTCAATTTATCAATTAGGTCAACAATGTCCTCTCTTTTAACCTGTATCTGATTTAATTCATTAGTTAGGAGAGGCTGTTCAGGTAGTGGAATCTCCCCAAGGACTTCTGTCGTGAAGACAGATGCAAAAAACTCATCAAATTTCTCTGCAAAGTCCCCCTTTCCCTCCCTCACCATCCAGAGGGCCAGCTACTTCTCTGGCAGGTTCCCTGCTTCTAACATATTAAAAGAAGCTTTTATTATTCCCCTTTATATTGCTGGCCATACATTCCTCAAAGTCTACCATCTTCTTACTTTTCTTGTGCCAGAGTTTGTGTTTCTTTTTATTTTCCTCATTTGGAAATGATTTCCATTTATGGAAGGACCCTTCCTTGCCCTTTAAAGCCTCTCTAACTCCTCTCATTAACCATGCCAGGACCCTCTTGGACTTAGTTGAGCCCTTCTTTCTTTGTGGTATACACTTCCACTGGTCCTCTACTACCATTATTTTAAACAGCCTTGGTGCGCTCTGGAGAGATTGGATTCTTTTTATCTTCCATTTCAACTTCTTTCTAAGTAGTTTCTTCATCTGAGGGAAGTCCGCCTTTCAGAAATCAAGGACTTTTGCATCACATTTGCTTGACACCCTCCCCTCAACATGCATGGCGAAAGAGATCACAGCATGGTCACTATTGCCTAGTGGCTCAGTGGCATTCACGTCCTTAACCAGGTCCTGAGTACAATATTAAATCCAGAGTCACCTGTCCTCTGGTGGGCTCCATGACAAGTTGCTCCAAGGCACAGTCGTTAAGCATGCCAAGAAAACCGGTCTCTTTTTCTTGACCTGAGCATGCATTGATCCAGTTGATGTGAGGATAATTGGAGTCCCCTACGATTACAATCATGTCCCTCTTGGACACCTCCCTGATTTCTCTCGTCATTTCAAGATCCCCCTCATGTTTTTGATCTTGAGGACGATAGCACCCCCCCCACACACAATCACATTGCTCCTGACAATCGACTCACCCACTACCAGAAGCCCCCTCCCCCCCCACAAGAAGTATCCTCAGTGCAACTGGATACGGGCCCATGACTTGAAGAAAGGGTCCCCCCCAGGGGATAGTTTCCCTCCTGTCCAGATTGCCATCTTCCTGCCCGGAGACTTCCAATCCCAGCAGATGAGGAGTTGCTTGTTTGTGGGTGAGACGATGCCTCAAGGTCCCTGGAAGTCTCACCG